AAACTTCTGGAACTCAGCAGAAGGTCCTGGGCCCCACACCACGTGTCCCTTCTGTCACCTTTGGCCCACATCCTTTCTCTGTCTTGTCATGTGCCCTTGACAGCCAACCGGGCTGCTACATCCTCAGATGCCCCCTCTCTGCCAGCCACCAGAACCATGCTCCCCTCGGGACCCTTTCCATGACATAGCGTACCCTGCTGGCATAGAGGGCTACTACACTCCCAGTTCCCCTCTCTATCAGGAACTGGCGCGAGGCGCCGTAGTGACCCATTATGTGTCACTACACATGTACCGTATCTGCGACTTTCTAACCCACACTTTTCCAGCATGGTAATGTATGGTCACGTAACCCACGCAGCAGGCTGCACAGCATGGAGACAGTCCTTCATCCAGCAACGGCTTTACGAAATGCTGCACATGCACACCGTTAGTGAATGGGCCATTATCTTATACACGTACTCAATACGCTTGGGTGTCAGTATCTCAATACTTGTGTAGTGACGTAAATGGAGTCACTATGGTGTTTAGCGCCAGCTACTGTCACAAGAGTGGAACTGTGTCTTGAGCCTCTCTCTGGCACCAGAGTAACTATGGCATGCAAGCGGGCCCTCGGGGGCATAGATCTGGTGACGGTCTGAGAGCGGGCAAGTAAGGACGAGACAGTCTGGGTGAACCGAGGGCACGTGAGCAGGACAGGGTAGCGAGGAGGCCCAAACGGGGGCTCGATGGACACGTGATGCTTGGTCGAGAACCTTCTGGAAAGATCCAGAAGGGGGCGTGGCTGAAGGCGGAGCGAGGCCACGCTCGGGAGTATAAAAGGGAAGGCCCGAGAGCGATCGCGGCTGTCTGTTGGAATGGAACCCGTCAGCGCTACATCTCTTTGATCCTCGATCTTTGGTCTTCGGTCTTTACGCTTGGCTTCGTGGTTCAGGCAGTATGTTACTGACTGACCCGGTTATGTAGTTACCCGGTTGTGGTATAGTTAACCAAGTGTACGTTTATGCAGTTACCCTGTTGGGGTGCTATAATAAACGTGTTGCCTCCAAGTTCTAGTGTGTGTATCCGTGAAATACACTACACCTGTTAATCCGAGCAGATAATTCCATGACACTAATTAACATGTATATTTACATCAGCAGTTGTCAACCGTTGAGGGAGCATAGGCTGTCGCATGGATGCCGTGCAGAAGAAATTACTAATAAAGGCCCAGTAACCTGTAGGCTACGTCACTACACTGCATTATACATTCCAATCAATACCAAACCATAAATGGAGCGTATAAAATCCATGACACTTGTCAAAACACACATGCTAGTGATTTCGGGTTGTGGTTGACAGATGATCATTCTTTGCATGTGATAAAATAAACTCTTGTGCTGTCCTTGCTAATGGCTGTGTCCTACTGCGAGTGAAGTTGACAGCCTGCCATACATTACTGTACATGCATAAAGCAACAACGACTTCAGAGATTTTTGCTTGCAAATTTCCCTACTTTGAGTTTTAGAAATGTTTCTTTTTAGACAGCTTTGGTTATGAATATTTTAATATAACAGCCCTTTGACCATCCTTTACTGGATGGGACTTCCCCAACGTATCAGTCGCGGGGGTTGTTTGACCATACTTTACCGCACTGCCTGGTGTGGGTTGAAGTTGGGGCAGGAACTGAGGAGATAAGCTTGTGTTTAGGTCCCTGTCCTACACGTGTCGAGCAACTTTTTACCATATTTCTCACCTCCGGCGGGACTTTCCCACTGCAGAAACGTCTTGCAGTTCGATTTTCATCACGAATTCAAATCGCAGGTCGCGAATTTTGGGTAAAATAAGTTAGCCGCATATACGCGAGATCACAAAAACCGAACTCGCATAAAAAGTGAGGGAAAACCTGTACAGTGCTCGAAAGCCTCTGCCACGCAATGGGAAAACAACTTCATTTGTTTGCCAAATAGCTGGTGGAATGTTTATGTAGCGTATGCTCTTTGATCCATATGCTGAATGAAGTGATCAGAAAGTCCCTACCTAGTTTTAAAGTTATATTGACGGCAAATACTCTTTGAACATCTTGAAACACACCTTAAAATTAAGCTAAAGAAAAGGTGACTTGGTGGTCATGTGTCCTTATACTCATGTAAATGTTGACATGCCAAAATGGAGGCACTTTTAGACATTCATTTTCAGTTTCTAGGTACTGTAGTCTGTAAATGTCTCAAATGATAATGAATAAATACTAATATATTTAAAATCTGATGCAAGGCTACATTTTTGCAAATGTTGAGTTATTTTATACATCTAAAGTGTATAATACACACAGCCATGCACTAATTTGAAATCTTATTTATTTTGGCTCCACTTTGGTAAAAACGTACCCTTTTGGACTCTTTTGGCCAAAGGTTTCGATGTTTTTTTTTCAACAAAAGCCATCTGGCAGCACTGATCTTGTGTTAATGTTTCCTGGTGGCAGCATGACCCAGGGGCAGGCCTGCGCTGATCGAAACGCACACGATTTAGACTGGAATCGGACATCATAATCTCGGTCTGGCAATGTCTGAGGACCACTACTTCCCGACTGGGGTCTGCAACTGATTGGTGACAGCGTGAGACCAGCATGGTGAAGAGTAAAATTTACATTTCATAAAGTACCCATTCTTAGGACCCGGAAAAAAATGTGAGAATTGGTACTCAGCTCATGGCAAATGTACGACACTGGAAAAGTCTTAGATAAATTATATTTAGCATGAAAAGCCTGCACAACCCTTGCATAGTTACATAGTGGAGTATACTTGGTTGATACAATACAGACAGTATAGGTAACCAAAGTGCCTTGGAAATACTGTACAGTATGGGAGTCCCCTGATTGATAAGAAAAAATGCCCATGTAGTACTCAATTGCTTTTATGCAATAATGTACAGTATTTATTTCCAGTGATTGGGCAATTTTGAACAACCAATTTTGAACAACCAAAAAGCGAGCTTCGCCAGAATAAGCTATCATGCTCACGAACACGTTTAACAAAAAATATGGTACAAGCATTGCATTTTTTCAGCAATAAAATACCCACAGAGGTGAGTGGGCCAAACATGTAAAGCTCAATTTCATAGCACCTAAAGTGTGGTGAGTTTACATTTACAAATTGGAAAAATTAACGTAAATTCTGCTCAGGGGTTGCATTTAGACAACATTGGTCGCAATGTACAACCTCAACAACAAGAAGCCGTAATGTGCTCTCCAATGAAATATAAATGTGCATCCAGTTAAATCGTCCAATTTTGTAAAATTAATGCACAGGCATGAAAGTGAACCCGTGTGCAAGTGACAAATGAATCGACATGCCTACCAATTTACAGTAAAGTAAGCCGTGCCATATTGATGTTTGGCTAAAATAAGAGCGTATTTGTGTAATAGTGACGCCATAGCAACAAAATATTAAAATTCGGCAATTTTCATCACGCAACCATGCTAGTTAACATCAATATGGAGCATGACTGTAAAGAAGGTAAACTTCTTTCCGTGGTAATTCCTGCTATTCCGCATGTAAGCAAACATTGTCTTGTTTAAATTTTTTACTTTAAATGGTATGAAAACTATAGTTGAAGCAGATAACTGGGATGAAAATATAAAAATAGAACAAAATTTATTTTACTATGGAAAAGCAAATAAATAAGCAGTTGATACTTTTTTCAAATCACATGTTACGACAGAATTTGTTTTTAAGGATGTACGATTTGTATTACCTTATTTATTTCTGGTGCATGCCGGTTTAAAATGTATAGTGACTCATGACATAGTTATTTCGTGATATTGGATTGCTACCTCATCAAAAGCACGGCATTACAATTCTAACCGATTACTTTTAAGAGTCCTGACAAAGCACACTGTTTCAAAAGCAATCAGAAATGTGTGAATATAACCTATTTCCACACTTATCCATAATGCCTAATGTCATGCCTTGCTGTCAAGTATCAATTCTATATATATTAAATGTTATATTCAAGGTACAGTTAAATACAGCAGTTTGTGGATTTTCAACATGTACTTGTACACGTTAATAATTTTAACAATGATTGCCTTATATAACTTAATATAAATATATAGTCTTGGTTCTTTCGGTAAAGTCACGTAGAAGGGAAACAATAAAATAATAAAAATATAAAACAATAAAATTCTCACGACGTTTCGACTGCAACACAAGCAATCATCACTTTTTTCAAATTTTATTGTTGTGATTTTCACACCTGATGATGATTGCTTGTGTTGCAGTCGAAACGTCGTGAGAATTTTATTGTTTTATATTTGTATTATTTTATTGTTTCCCTTCTACGTTTTACCGAACGAACCAAGAATATGAATCCCTGCAGTCACGAAAGCTTTAAATCATTTATATAAATATGTTTATTTTATTTCTTGATATAAAAAGTGTAGTGCAAAAAGTTTGTGCTATAAAATACTGTATTCTATTACTCTATATATGTACTTAGGCTGTACTTAGTTAGGTACAGAAAGGAAGTTTAACTCGCAGGCTTTCACGAAATAAAGTTTGCATCACATTAATAAACTTGCAACCACAGATACAAATGAAGATGTAACAAGAGTTATAAAAAAAACTATTTATAATGCATCTAAATTCAACCACATCAAGACACTTTACAAAAATGAGAAAAAGTATGCGACCATGGAGGGTGATTTGGGGCGGTGGTGTTCAAGATGAGACAACCAACACCAACGCCGAGTCCCAGGGACACCTGGGACAGCCAGGGCAGTACTGACGAGTCTCAGGGCACACATTCACCAATAAAGCACAGGGAATATCATTGTAGTCGAAACTCGTACGACTCCAGATTCCATAACTTATCGCTACTGTAGAATGTATTAATTACTGTACATTTTCACAAATTTACACAACGGTAGATTACATAGCCTGACATACAAGTATAATAGGGAAGCATTAAAGAGGGGCACAGTGTTCACATAATGGCACAATTCTTCTTGTCTCTCTCAACCTCAGGTGCTGGGGCTTCTTGGGGTGCAGCTCGGGGCGGCTGCCGTTCCCTGAGCAGGGACAGCCGACGCAGCAGTCGTTTTGAGGCAGTGCGCTTGAACGTCGATGGCTCGCGTGTCCCTTCGGCCACACTCGAGCCCGCTGCATCTGCACTGCTGCTGCAGCCAGTGTCAGTGGGAGTTCTCTGCTGGTGCTGCCTGCGCATCTTCTGGGCAGTGGTCGGGCTCAGCAGGGCATCACGTACAGAGTTCGTGTCATTGTCTTTTGCCGAGCACTCCACGTAACACATAGCCCCCAGCTGCGTGGCCGACTCCGATGCCTGTAAAACATGCATGGCAATCTTGGTCAGCAGTCCTAATGATTAAATGAGTGTTACACATCTGTTGGCAGTCCTGAGCCAGTGGTGAAAATGCTATGTTCCTCTGGTGGCACAATTTACAGTATTCCTAACCCTTAGAAATCGACAGTTGGTCTCATAATTTTGCAGAACTCCAAACGATGACATGCTGCTTGAACAAATGACTAGCATTTCAACTTCAGATTTCATTTACTGGAAGCCAGCCCCTCTACCATACACTGATCGTGTCCTGTACACGTGTCCTTCGCTCTGCATGGGGGGAAGCTTTCTGAAAACAGGCCATGCAGAGCGTATCCGTGCAGAGTGAACCCAGAATTACATATTAAAAGAAAGGGCTTATGTTCCAGACCCCCTCTCCAGACCCAGTATTCTCATTTCTGTATCACTAATGCACGTACAAAATACAAACCCACAATATATAGTCCAAGTTCCATGCGGGAGCAGGCAGGCAGGGAAACAATGATTCTGATTCAATGCCATATGCTCCCGTACTCAACCATAAACCACGTTAAATGACTATATACCGCGTGTATTACTAACGTGTACGATTGTTTTGATTGCCACAATTTGATTACTCCGTGTTTATTGACACATTTCACGTTTGCACTTTGACTTACTGTACACTGTGCCATAATACATCTTGTGTTTGGAACAGACTTGCTGTTAGTAAGTACTGCTGTAATTTAGCTAGCTCGTGAAGCCAACTGAAAGACAGTGAGAAACCAAGAAAATGCCCGCGTCACTGTATTCGCTCACGAGATGAACTCGTAACCAAATTGGTTGACTATGAGGCCGAGGACATAATGACGCACCCATCAGCATGATGCAACATCCGCTGGAATGTTCCAATGTGGCGACGCAGCTTGTGGCGTCATTCGCCGTGCAGAAGGGCAGGGCAGGGGACTCACCTGGTGGTGAGACACCATTCTCTGGGATTTCGAGAGACGGAGGTCCGATTTGCACCCGACAAGCAGCAGGTGGGCACTTGGGCAGTGGGACTTGGCCTCTCGATGCCACTGTAAGCACAATCATCATCAATGTTATTACCATCTGTATTATCAGTACGACCATACAGACATTACCAGCATTGGCATTATTATTAGTATTAAAAGGCTTGGGAAATAAATGTCATCATTACCACCAAGGCACGTTTAAAATACCGTAATTGTTACCACCATCGTCACGTCCGTTAGTGACATCACAAAAAAAACACTTCTGTCATCATGCATACTATTTTTTATTCAATCAGGTGAGGCAACTGAGACAAAAAAGGTGTTTTTCAAGAGAGGCCAGGGACACAAATGATAATATAGGGTACATTTATATTTACATTGTTCAGAAAAAAATTCGTACATTATAACTAACATAAGAGTGCACAGATGTCCCTACCTCCCATAAACTAAAAGAAAACGATCTCCCATATGGCCATAACGACTTTTGTGACAAGTGCCGCAAGAAAGCACTGCATACCAGCATGGTACTAGAGCAATTTTCGTGGCCAGCACTATGCCAGATACTAATTTATGGCTGAGTCAACCTAGGGGAGTCACAGGATCAATTAACATATTTGTCACTGATGTTACCCGTGGAGGGCAATCGAATGCAGGTCGCTGGTCCATAGCACAGTGCGCTAACCACTACGCTACCACTCTCCCTAAGCCGCACACACAGGCACATGCACTCGGACAACAAGGCATGCATGATCTCGCACCTTTACGTGGATGCTGTGAAGCGTCTCTGGGCGGCTGATGTCGAAGCACAGCAGCACGACGGAAGCGTGCTGGTACGAGAGTGGTCGCACGGTGTCGTAGTGCGAGGAACCTACAGGAGTGAGCATAGGGTCAGCTCACAGGGCAACTACATAGTTTATCTTTCAACGCCGTGATTAATATATAGAAGAGTGGTGCTGTGATAGCATGTAACATTTTGTTTCTGTTAAAACGACGCGGAAATACGCAATGGTACACACGTACGCGTGGTCCGTAAACACCATCACCGACAAGCATGCTAATACAAATAATAATACAATGTACAGCCATTTGTCAATCTACCTCTGAATAAAGAGGAGCGGATGCAACGTCGGTCATATGACTTCATCATGCCGGTCACAACAGGACCAGTTCACATACCATTTGGAACTTATTTTAACCATGGCCGGGCATCAAACTCGGGTGACTGCCTCACTGCTGTAGCCTTTTACATGAATATTTCCTATGTACTAATATTGTGGGTAGAAAAATAATATGGATTTAATTGAAGTGTGAACCATAATGCATTGCAGCATAGTGCGCGCATAAAAGTGCGTGTAATGTACATTGTTCTAATGTAGAACATGCAGTGAAAAGTTAAAATGGCCGTAGAAATGCAAAAAGTGTACAGCAAAAACAAAAACATCACCAGGCATGGCGGTGCAACGCCTCTAACTCGGTAGATTTAAGGCAATGATTTGGTGGATCACAGAACTCCTGAACTCACTGGCCCGAGTAGTGGCCAGGCGACGAGTGGGCACATGAACCCTCCTTGGCTCTTAAATATAGTTTTGAGTGTTATCTTGGAGTCATACAAGTGTTATCTTCTTGTATGACTCCAGTTCTCTCCACATGCAAACTATATACAGTATATAAACTTGTATTTACCAGTCGACCTGGCCACAGTTCATCAAAGTGGCTTATATCATCATACATGTGGGAGTGTATAGTAGACATAATTTAAACACACGTTTATGAGTCTGGAGGACGACATCGGAAGACCCAGAGAAAAATCCACGTGGCCACAGGAAGGGAGAACATATACAGGCGTCAGGGGCGGATTGAACTTACGACCTCCTGCATACCAAGCAAGGGCAATAACATCTCGCCACCAGTGAGCCCCAAATCCCCCCTGGAAAAGGAAATGGCCAAACATAAATTCAGGGCCATCCTCAAACAGTATTGAGCCACGGCAAAGTTTACCTGGCTAAATCAAATTATCGTTGTAAAGTATAAAGTGCACACTACTTTATACATATATAATACTACATACAGTGTATAGTTGAAGTCCCCCAATCTTGATCAACCCGCGGATCACCGTTGACCCTCAAAAAATCGTTTACTAGACCACCATGCACGAATATGTTTTTAATTACTTAAGTCATAATAGCTGAACAGTTCCACGGACCACTTCCCACGGCCTTGCTGACAACAATTAGTCTATGGACCAGAGGTTTGTAACCACTGCTATAACAGTATATATGCATACTGTACTATAACAACGTCAGTACATACTACATAGTATGTATATAGTATGCACACATACTATATATAGCATGCAGGCATACCACTGATTCTCAACCTGTGGTTCGTGGGTTCATACAGGCCTATGATTTTTTTATCATGTATAGCCACAAGACACCCTGTTAAAAGTACCAAAACATTACACGTGGAATATTTAAATATCATATTCTTGGTTCTTTCGGTAAAGTCACTTAGATGGGAAACAATAAAATAATAATATATAAAAAATAAAATTCTCACGACGTTTCGACTGCAACACAAGCAATCGTCATCAGGTGTGAAAAACCGCAGCACCTGATGATGATTGCTTGTGCTGCTGTCGAAACATCGTGAGAATTGTATTGTTTTATATTTTTATTTTTTATCATTTTATTGTTTCCCTTCTATGTGACTTTACCGAAAGAACCAAGAATATGAATCCCTGCAGTCACGAAAGCTTTAAATCGAAATTAATTTAAATATTATTTTTTAAACATGTATGGCAGTGTAAAACTCAATAAATTACAATTATTCCTCGGAGTAAACCTTTAAAACACTCTGTGACCTGTCCTGTCTGGGGCCAGGCATTACCACACTGGGACTGGCTCATCACTATTTTTCAAGAAAATATAATTGTTACAAAAGTTCCCACATTTCCAGACACAATAGTCACGACCCCAAAACGCAAGGCACAAATTGGCAACAGGCATTGCATCATCGGTGCTATCATCAACCTTTAATATGAATAATGCTTTAACATACGTCCGTACATTACTCGTATCAAATTACACATGTGCAGAACTGGATATGCTAACACTGCTGAGATGTATGCAAGCTCATCTGTAAATAATACGCGTGTGTCAAGTGTGCATATGTACAGTATGTACCACACATAATAACCGTACAGTGGGTACACATCGCCTGTTGAGGTCACTGTAGGTGAAATTCAAGACTCTCACGTTGCAGCCCTTTGCATTATGAGGCTATTCATCTGCCACACCGTTTGTAGCCATTCTAAGCCACTCCTGCAATTTGTCTCCTATCACATATTAGCACATCAAAGCGCCGTCTTAATGGTATGAGAGATCGGTGAACTACACGGTATACCTAATGGATATTAGAATTAGCAACAACCACAAGAAACGTCCTACAGGAATGCCTAGTCCTCGCGACTGCTCTGGGACTGGTCTGGGCACATTCTAGGTGTTTTGAGTTATGGCAAGGGCACACCTATAATCCACAACTTTAATGGCAAGGGTTGGTGGATCAAACAGCGTTGTGTAATTCACAAAACATGCCGAGCTACAAGACGGCCAGGATAGGCAGTATAGCAAGTGGATTAATTAACCCATTTGTGTGGATATTTGAGTGTTATCCCCCGCACGTGTGTATGTGTGTGGGTTTTCTTTGTGGACGCTCGAGTTTTTTTTCTAATGGCAAAGCTTTCCTTAATGATATATATATAAATCGGCCTCATATCCCACTGGAGTATGCTATTTCAAAGAATCCTGAAAGTAAGGCTGTCCTGGAT